AACCCAAATTTAATAGTAAACATGTAACTAAAATGTTAGTGAATATTTTTAAATGACACGATACATAGTTTTTTTCAACTTCATGATTAAATTAACGGAAGAAAAGTTTATTTTGTTAACTCTGTAAAACCTTAAATGAACATTACTAATAATCATTATAAAAACTAGTAACCGGATGATCTATATACTAGGTGATTGATCCGTACTCTGTACGGGTATAAAACCTTTTAAAAGAGTACATTAATTTTGGTATTTATTAATACGATTTATTGTCTAAAAAAATATGAAAGATTGTTAGTTGTAAACCTTATATGCATGCAAGAAATCAACATACATATAAATAATATTTTGAATGTCGCCACAAAACTACAGAATTTTTTGTTTTATAATTCTCTATTTGTATTGAAATAAACATCAGTGATGGATAAAAACTTGTAATACTACGTAATTAGTGACATAATGTTTTGTAAACATTCATATATTTTTTTGGGTCTGACATTTATATAAACTATGTTAGTTGTAGTAATTATCAAAATTTATTTTCTTTTTCTTTTAGGTATTTTGGTTTTAATTTTTTCTCTCTTTTTTTCCATCCACTTCTTCTTTATATATTCTTATTTCTTCTGCTTGTGTTTTTATCCTCTTTCTCGTCTTCGTGCGCCTCTTCAGTATCTTCTTTGTTCTTTTTCGTTGTTGTTCATCTACTTTTTTTGTCAACTAGCGTACTTCATTCATTTAACTGATCAAAGTACAAAGGGAGGGGATTGAGCATCCTCCAACATTAATACAACATAGTTGAAATACAATAAAACATAGAGCAAATAAATCATCGCAGAAGATGGGCAGCGTCAAGAGGGTTTTCGCCTCTGAGTCGCCTCGCAACCACTGGGGCCGAGATCTTTGTGGGCTCGAGGGTAGTTGGATGGGCTCGAGGGCTCGATCTGAGACCATAGAGGGGGGAGGGGCGATGGGTTCATCAAGTTTCGATTATGCCGGTGAGACACAGAATCTCGAGACCGGGTTCGAGAGATGGACCAGCGATGGCTTTATCAGCTTCCGATCACTATTCAAACTTCCAGATGTCGTGCCGTTAAGATCTGGAGAGGCCATTGGCGGAAGCAGGCGGTGGTGGAAGGTGGTCATGTTGTACCGCGGTGAGGCTTTTCCGGTGGGGACAGCTCTGGTGCTCACGTCGACATAAGCCGAGAAGCTCATATAGATTGGTCCTAGGGCCAAAACCGGAGTAGCAGCAGAGAAGCTCAGATAGATTGGGGTGGAGGACGGTAGTGGCGGTGATGGCCATTGGGAGTGTGAATCGAGAGGTGAAATAAGGGCTAATCAAGTCGGGAGGTGAGTTGGGGCTGAGCGAGTTGAGGTTTTCCGGCGTCGGTAACACATAAGCAGATGGAGAGAGTATGTGTATTGTCAAGAACGGTTCAGCGGGTCTAGTGGATCCGGCGGAAACGGAGGATACAGGGCGCCGTGCCGGTCATCCTCTGAAAAAAGCAGAGCTGATCAGTTCCGTGTGCATTGTCATTGCAGGGTGAGATGGCGAGGAGACAATCATCGGAGGGAGGTCAGTCGACACTCACCAAAGTTACAACCGGCGAAGGGAGAAGCTCTAACGGCTGCCTCAAAAATCGTGTCTGAGAGCATTGTTGTTCATCTACTTATATATAGGTTTTTATGAGATTATTACTTGCGGACAAATATTCTAAATTTGTTATATGATTTATTATGTCTTCACCAACTTCTTCTTTTTCTTTTATCGATTTTATCAAATTCTAGATCGCCATATATAGAATTCTACATCATGGCAATGATCTGCGCTAGGAAGACGTCTTTCTTGCCACTCGTCGGTGTGTTTTCTTCACCGGAGACACCCAATCCCTCCGACCTCTATTTTTTTCTCTCCTCTTGATGGCTTTAGTTGAGCCATTAGCTTCGCTCTGATCTGCGTCTTCTGCATCCCCTTCTTGTTATTTCGAGATGACGGACAGTGCTCAGGTGAGACCATCTCCTCCACCCAAGCCGCTGACTCGCCAGATCCAACCCCTGCACCGTCGCGGTCACTCATCCCTATCATCTTCCACCACCGTCTAGCTGAGCCCGAAACCTCCCTAGATCTGAGTGGCACCGGATCTAGGTGGGGTTCACGATGCTCTAATGGTTTTGTCCCCTCGCTTATCGATGGTTGTTTCCCAGGCCACCACTATCTGCGAGTCTCCGTTCTGCACCACTGGTCATCGATAGCGATCGGAGTTGTCCTCAAATGGTTGTGTTTCTCCCCTCGCTGGATCTCCCTCCAAACCCGCAACCGAGATGAAATTCCTCACCGCTGCTTACCAGACTCAACCGTCGCCACCGCTGCCGAAGTCCCTCTCTATGGAGAACAGCCTCCGGCTCCCCCCTCTTTGGCGGTGTAGTTTATCGCCACAGTGGCTACATCGCCCCACCATCTCGAAACCTCAACCCCCCCTCTACTGCCATTCAGTTATGCACCTTGCCGGAAAAGTTCCTCTGCTCACTCGAGAGTTTTCATCGAAAAAGTTCATGTGCCACCGATTGCCACAACTTCCCTCAACCGTCCACCGTGATGGGTTGAGAGTAAAGCTGGGCTTCTGTGAAGATATAATGGGTCATTCAAAGCCTTTAGAGTTTAGGTCCAATTAGAGCATGTTGCTCACTAAATCAGGCCCAGTTCCTAAGGTGTTAAAAAACATATTTTCAAAAATCTTGCATGTTTTTTAGCCTAGTGGCTTCTCTTTTTTTAGAATTCCATTGTTTTATGGATTCTCAAATACTGTAATTTACCAGTGGGAGAGATCAATTCCACCATCTTCCTTCTCTTTGAGAATGGTTGTGAAACAACCGGGCCTGTTTTTTTAAAACTCGGATTATTATTCCCATAAATAATAATCCTCAACAATATCAATTCTCAACATCAAGCACCAATCAAACATCCAGCGGAAATAACTCAATTTGAACAAACGATTTATCCATTAAATCCAATAACTCATTGAAACAATATAACCAAATTCAACAACCAACATGAATCCAACTCGTTAATTCTAACTCAACAATCCAGCAATTTAGCGGTTCTAAGT